CTGTACTAAGAACAACGAACAAAAACACTATTTCAACTTGCTGGCAAGAGAGATTCAGATATTGATACATGACAGAACTAACAAATTTAAACTATCTTTCTACGAAACAAGCCCTACAACAAGGAGATCTTAATTCCAGGGTTGCAAATACAAATAACAAGAAAGACCTTCAATTTGACAGGTGGAATATAAGTTATGGATTCCAAAGATTCAATAATCACTGCTTAGAAACAAAATGACAACATTCAACAAATTAATAACCAAATTTAATAACTTACCTTATTTAACCAGAATATATATATATGCAGTATATGTGCAAGAGAAACTTTTACTGCTGTGGTAAATTATTTTGAGATTTTAATAGAAATGCATTATTTGTAGTCACCCGATTGTAAAAAAAGTTCCCTTCCTCCTCAAACTACAGTCATCCATGAACACTGCATAAACCATGCTAACAATTAAAAATTAAAACAACAACAACAACAACACACACACAAAATTGGTACAGGCTCAATTTCCTCTAGAACACTTGATTTTTCTCCTAAAACGAGTACTTTCCAAAGCATAATGTTTACTTCCCTCTGATAAAGGTTTGTAGAATTTTTCAAATTATTAAAATAAAATATAAAAAATAAACATTAAAAAACTTGATACTAATTTGTCAGCTCCCTGTTTTACTGATGAAGTACACATTTAAATTCATATTCAAATTCATATAATAAAAATGTCTTTTAGCTTGACATTTTTTAAAGGAATAATGTTACCTGATATTGTGCAATATTCCAAAAAGTGGACGCACTCTATAGTTAATATCATGCTCATTTTTGCAAAAATCATTAGTTTTAGCATGATTGAGTAAAATAAAGGCCGTCTTTAAAACAAGATTTTCTGAAAAATCTCACATTCTTTAAGAACACATTGGATAAGTTAAACTAAATGTACAGAAAAACATTAGATACGCCATTTTCATTCAAACTAGTTTCTTAATTAGTTTTATCAAATTATTATTGGTAACTGCCATAGTTACATAACCAACATGTTTCTAAGTACAGTACAGTTACGTGACACAGTCCAAGAATGTCAACATTTAGTTTGGGGGATCGAAATCCACAAAAGACACAATATTTAATTTGTGTTCATTTGGGCATCCTGAGCAAAATGGTACACTGAGGTAGGGCTAAGAGATAATATGGACAAATGGGAAGGGTCCTATGATATGTTAACAGAGTGCTCTTCACTGGAATGTTCCCAGAGGACCAGTAGGTACCAAGAGAAGTCTTGTTAAGCCTCTTAGGGTGCTGACATAGCAGGTGGGAAATGACTAAAGAACAGAGGAAAACGAAAAATGTCTGTGCCATTCTGTAGCATCACTAATTTTACAGATGCTACTAAGTTATTCATTTAAGCATTCCTTATTCTAATCTTAACAAAAACTTCAAAGAAAAACCAAAGTGTTTTAGGAAAATTGTTTTTCATACACATTGTTATTAATTTCAAAATAAATTACGCAAAAATACTAGTTTTTTTAAACAAATTATACACAACTATCGTAAACGACTGATTTTTTAGAAAACTTTTTGCAATTTTCGAAATTACACCAAGTTTGCCAGAAATGAGACTAGGCACAAAGCCATTGAATATAAATGAGAAAATTTGATTATAATATTGAAGTAAAAAAAAAAATTGAAAAATTGCTTATATTCCCAAAATAATGAGCAAATAATCATATTTTTGAAAAATTGAACATGACCTTTTTCAAGATCACTTTAAAGAACAGTTTTATTAAGAAACAAGCAAATACATTCTCACATTGGAAACGGCTACTTAAGATTGAAATATTCCAATTTCTGTGCTACTAAAATCTCAGCTATAACTTAAATGAAAATGTACAATTCAACTAAGAAGCGAGCAATGCACTGTTGCCAGCACAGCATCGTCAAACTCATGTTTATTTGCTTGGCGAATAATATCAATTGTTGGCAAAAACGCTTACTTTCATCTGTATTCAGATCTCAACTTGCCTATGGGCTAGTCATAATACAGTTGATAAATAACTAATACCAATAACCTAAATAAATTGCTAATCTTCTACAATTTGTAGTATAAAGTTAATTTATTACTGCCTGATTATATATTGACAATGCCTCATATGAAGCACAGGAAAATAAAACTAAGGTAGCATGTTCATTTGATCAACCACGGTGATGAACCCATCAAAAGTACCTTAAATGAAAGTAAAAATCTCTGTTCTTTACGAAGGTAAGAAAATTAAGGCCCTTAAAGGCTCAATTTTTGAATGAAACAAGTTCAAATTACTACAGGCTCTTATGCTCACGAAAATTTTCCCATAAGTTTGTTCAAGTTATGGAAGCTGTTTGGTTAATGTACCTTTTCTTTTACTTAATACACAGTAATTTTTAAAAAAATCTGATGATATTAAATATAACATCTCACCAGGCATTCTTAGGCATAATTTATAAAAACCACTGCTGTGAAATGCATTGCAAACGGATGTACTGGCTCTTGGCCTACGCTGTTACGCTGAAGTGCTATTCTCAGCTGTCTTTCCCTTAGGGCACAAGGGAAATTCGTGACAAAAAAGGTTCTAGTAGCTTCTGAAAGTTTTTTTTTTGTTTTTTTTTTGTTTTTTTTTTTTTGGGCAACAAGCTGGACTAAATAACTGCTCTATCTTCTCACTGCCACTGTCTTGACATTCCACAACAATGAGCTTATTGAGTGGATTGCTTGAAAGAAATACATGAATCTAATGAGAATACAACTGTAGAAAAGTGCAAGAAATTAAAAATAGAATGAATATTGGCATTTTAGATAGTAAATTATAATTAAAATCAATTATTTTTTTTTATGTGGCTCCTAGTTGGTGTAATATATTTCATTAATTTCAAATAGAAATTACGCACAAACTACCTGGTTTTTTAAAACAATTTTAGATGACCTTTTTTAAAGAGCGAATTTTGTACAACAGACTGTCTGAGGGAAAACTACCTTCAATTTTGTCGTTTCAAATGTGTTTTGTAGCAATATTCGAAAATCACTGACTAACAAAAATTATACCTGCACCACTTAAATATCTTGAATGTTCTCTTCACTATTCAACAGCAAAATCAAGCAAAAAATTTGAAGCCTTTTTTGAAAATTTCCAAGGAAATCGTTTAAAGTAACCCTCAAAATTAAAACATCAGGGTCAAATTTGAACGGCGATCAGCCAGAACGAGTGGGGAATATCAATTTCAGAGAAAATAGGATGAACAGATTAGGTGCCAGCTCTGACCAGGATGGACGGGAGCTTTGCTGTCAATTCATTTTTCATTATCAATGACATCCATGGATTCTGACTACATGTGTTAGAGGAAGCACTAGATAAAGGAACAAGATTTACTTTCTTGTTTCATGGACTGCAAATAAAAAAAGTTTTTTGACTTTAAGATTCACCGTTTTCGGTCACACAAGTAAAAAAGGAATGCCCATGTAAAGTGTAGTAGAAAATACATCATCAAATGGCAATTGTTGATAAAATACTATTATAGCTAGCCTTTACAAACTGAAACTACTTTACAAACTGATTTTAAAACAGTCGTTTTTATCTATAGCTTTGAATGAGTTTACTAGACCTTCTCAAAAGAAGTGAATTCCATATTTATATTCAACAAGATGCTACATTGACAATATTGTCATTATATGTTTAGATTTATTGAATGTTAATTGTACACATGCAAGCCCTTTGTGTTATCTCACAATCAATGCCCAAAGTTAAGTCATTCTTCAGTAGTCATGTGCCCTCAAGTTTCAAGGTAAAGGAGAAGTGCAATTTTACTTGGAGGAAGAAGAAAGCATCTATTCTGTTCTTAGGCAGTTATTCTGTTTTTGCTTCATTCATCCATATTAGAATTCCATTTAGGAAAGAATTATATCAGAAATGGTAATTTTAAGGAACCATTATATTTCATTCATTGTCCCCATTATTAATTTACTTATTACCATTTATATCAACTTTTTACAGATTTTCTAATGAGTTTAATTTCCTGTTTGGAAGCTTTCAAGCTATAGGTGCACTGGAATTGGGATTCTTTAATTATAATAACATAAATAATGTAGTGAGGAGATGATTCACACGATATCTAAATTCTCACTATGTCAGATTTCATTAAATAATAATTATCGCAATTAACAAATCAGTCATAACATCCTTTCACATCTTCCTCGTCACCATTGCCTTCACCTTGTTGGATGCAATTACGTTCAAAGAATATATTCTGCAGTCTTAAAGAAATCCAAATTGTGACCCTGTTACTGAGTAACTATGTATTTTAATAATTAAATTTGTTCAAAAAATTGGTTCGAAGCTTGACCGGGATTTGAAACCAGACATCACAGTTTTGTTTGCCCACTTGTGTTCCAGCCCAGCTTTGCTTGGCTCTAAATGATTGTCTGGGGGCCATGTACCTGAATGTCACGAGTCTCGAATAGGAAAAAATACATTAACAAGAAAGTTACCGCAGCTAATGACATGATACTCACCACCACCTCTGCCCATACTCTTATACAAGCACAAATACATGCATCTACAGTAATTTTGTTTCCACCTTAACACATTCAGTGCCACCCATTTGAGGCACATTTGTTTCATCCAGGGGCCAAACTTTAATACAGTATTCTATAAGTGATATACATTATTTGAAATACGTCGGCAATAGTGGTAGGCAAACGTGCAGTGAAGTGCAGGCCATGTTTTAGATATGATTCACCCTAAGGGTGCTGTCTCTAGCCACACAGTAACCCAGTTGATAGAATTTCAACATGTGCCGATTCCACCCATAACCTCATTACACTCGATGAAACCAGTTAAATGAAAGTACAGAATTAAAAAAGTAAGTTTTGAGAAAACTTATCACTACTTAAACTATTTCCATGTTTAATACAAAATGTAAAAAGAATTGAAATTAAAATCTATTCATACAAAACCAAGGACTAACACCTACCTTCCATGGCATCTGTGGCTTCACCATTGGTTTGGTGTTTTGCAACCTCTTCGAGTGGGGAGACCACAGGAGTTTTTCCAGTACCTCTTGAAGCAGGACTAGGCTCAACAGAAATCGGTGGTGGACCAGAAACCACAGTTGCTACTGGAGCAGGGTTCTCACGACTTCGGGATACTGTAGGTTTGTCCCTATCTCGTCCTTGGGATTTTTCACGAGTCTTCTCTATCCCTTCTTTACCCTGAGATGATCTATCTCGACCCCTAGATGCCTTATCTTCACGTCTCTCTTTGGGTGCAGATGCAATGAAGACAGATTCCTCTATTATCTGAGAAGGCTGTTCTGGTCCTGAAGTAGTTTTTTTAGCTGGAGGTAAAGATGGTGGAAGCTTAGATTCAGTAGTCACCACAGTGGGAGCAGGAGTGTGCTCTCGGGGTTTACTGTCCGTGCTAAAAATTGAAAAAACAGAAATTGCTTAAGAAACTTTCTTAAATTAAATCTCTACAGCAGGGGCAATATTGGAGTGGATGAAATGACATTTAATAAACTGTTTTTAACTAACAAAAATTTCTATATAGAATGTCTTCACTTCATGGACAAATTAATGACAACCACATGTTCCTTATCGTGAAAGCAAGGCTGGTCTGCGGCTTGGAGGTCTAATTTAAATACTCTGCGTTGCACTGAGGGCAAGAAGAGAAAAGAAGAGAAGGCAGCATAAGATCTGCATGGCAGTCTTCATTGGAAATATTGGAACCCAGTTTTGCAGGGTTTACTGTTGCTGTCCTCACTCCTCTAACTGCCCAGTAGAATGGCCAAGTAGCATTGAGTAATTTAAATTGCAAACCCACAAGTAAAAAAGAAGTTATTTCTCAAATAAGAAAAATTTTGAGAGGATATCAACTGCACCAAACTTCTTTGAACAAAAATAGTGTCTGTCGAAGTAAATTAAAGGACAGGAAAAAATAGCCTAAATATTACACCAAAAGCGCATTATTATGGCTAGGTACTAATGATTTGCAAAATTACTTTTAGTTTTAATGTAAATGCAAGATTATCAGAAAACACAAAAGAGAACAAGAAGAACACATATCATTACGGAAGATTACACTTTTTCTGTTGTAATTTTTAAGAGGATATATTTTTTTAAAATTTGCTGGATGATGATGAATCATCATTTTAACATTTATCAACATGATCAGGATACTCTTAAAATTTCAATTTTCAAGTAATCTCGTAATCATACAGCAAATGCCCTTACATTATACGAGATGAAATGAAACTTTTAATTTCAATGAAAATTAATCCACATCTTCCCAGTATTAAAAGTATGTTAATTTATGGAAATGTGACAAACACTGATTTATAATACAATGAGTTAATTGTTTAAATATCAACTTTTATTTTTGCCACTGGGAAGAAGACTTAACACTGCATAGGGAAACCATTATATGCAGGATGTCCGGGGAGGAAACGTCGAAACTTAGCAAATAAGCTTTCAAGGTGGTTAGAGAGAGATATTCCCTAGTAGTCAGAGTGTCCATATGAAATTCAAAAATATTTGCGAGATAAGTGTGTATTGTGAGACCTACATAGACCAAAGTTTAGTTCTCTCCAACATTGTATTAAGCTTTATATTGTAAGTAGTCAGAAGTTAACGGTTATTTCCAGCGGTGAAATTAAGTAATTCACAGAAACCATTTGCTGATTGCAATGTTTTCAGCATAATTTTATATTGATTTAGATGCAGATTATTGTCTTAAGTATTTACCAAACTAAACTAGATAAAATAAATTACAGTGTCCTATAATTCTGAGAGATGCATTACCATTATTTAGGCTCTCAATAATACAATATAACATTGTTGGAGATAAAATCGTCAAAAGATATTTCCAAGTGCCATGTACTTCAAAATGAAAAGATGTTTTGGAAATAAAGACACGAGAGTCATCCAAAATGCATTACTACTGTTCAGGTAATGCTAACGAGACAAAATAGTGCTGTAGAGAAAAGTGGTTTGTATTAAATACTAATACTACCAAACTCAAATTTATCATTCCTCTCAATTTTAAATTCATTTGCTGATCGCCACATTTTGATACTGTGGCTCTTCAAGGGCAAAATAGCACTGGACACACCTTCAGAAATAATGTTTGTTTATCCCAAAAACACTGATTATGATGGAATAAATCCTTGTACAAATACGATGTTAATTAACAAATTGCTTACAATGTGGAAATTTCATTTTTAATTACTCCATTTACAAAATATGTTAACTTTTTATTGTTCTAAACAATTTATTTTTAAATTAAAACATTGAAATTCAATAAACCATTTGATTAATGATTATTATACAGATAAAATAATTTTATGAAGTTTTAAGAATATTTATTTTAAAAATCTGGGCACGGAGCTGCGTGTCCGGAGCCTACTTATTTCACTGGTAGGGAAATCCAGCTCTACATTTACCTATACCTTGAATGGTTAACACCAGCAAAAAAGTATTTGTTCTTTTCAATACTTTTGACGGCACTAAAAAATACGTAGAGTTTTTGACCTAAGCTAAAGGTTGCTGCTTTGAATCCTGTGTAAGGTATCTTGGAACTGCGTTGTGGAAGGCAATGACAATCCACTATGTATCTTGCATAATAAAATAATATATGAATAATTTTTGAATAATTAATCATTCAAATAATCAAATAAATAGGTAATCATTTGTTCAAGAGCAAAAGGCAAAAAGTACACATACGGCACAATATAAAATAATAATACTGTACAGCAGGTATGAAGTCTATAAACTAAAGATCACCCATTTTCTCATAGAGAGAAGTATCAAAGTGATACATTTGGAATATTAATTGAATTGAGTTTTTTATTCAATATCCATCATATTTCAGCTTTGCTGAATATCTTAATATTAAAGGTAAGATTTTCTAGGAATGAGGGTCTTTCTGTTGCTTTCAGTACACAAGGAAGTGTAAGAACTTGTTAAGAAACAGGTCACTCAATTTGAAAGAAGCGTGTTACGTGCACGTGTTGCTAAGTTGCGATTTACCATCGTGACCATCATCCACACAGATTTAGCCTTTTTTAAAATATTCTCCCATTTGAAGCCCTAAATGTCCTTCAAATTGCGATTCTTTGAGATGCTAGCAACCCAAGGAAGAGTTTTTAAAAATATTTTCCACAGTTTCTCACAATATACACATTTTAGGAAAGATGTGTCAGCGCACTGTATAAGCCCATGTTAAAATTACAAAATGTACGGTCTCATTACACAAATGGTGAAATCCACTCAACATACCAAAACAGAGAACACCCTGTCTTTTGATTAATACAATAAAAGAGGCATTTTAAACGTAAGACATATCTCGATCTAATACCTTAATTTTCAGTATATTTTCTCCAATAAACTACTGGAATATTCCGAATGGTTGAACCACATTAAGTACTCAAAAAGTTGGATTGGAAAAATGCTTTCTAGGCAAAAATGTGTACTGCATAACCATAAAAACACTCCTGAATAATATAAATCGTTTATTATTTACAAAATAAATCAATATATTTGTTCGAGAAGACACTAATAAACAAATAAAAAAAGCACCCAATTGGCATAATTCATCGACTTTTTATTCCTGGGTTAATTTTTCTTTCAGAATAAATAGATTTCTTTTGTAAATAATAAACAATTTACATGTTTCTGAAGTGTTTCTATGCAAATTTTTGCCTAAAAAGCATTTTTACAAACTAACCTTTGAGTGCTTATAGCGACTTAGCCATTCAGAATATCAAAGTAGTTTATTAGAATTATGCTTAAAATAGTCTGAAGAGTTTATTTTTAAAGTTTCGACATTTCCTTCCCAGACATCCTGTATATTTATTTTATACACAAATGTCAACTCTTGGGTTGTTGGAACACTCATTTGTTGTTTCAATTACTAAGTCAATTTTCCATGATCTTTCATCAATTTTTGTTCAAAATTTCTTAAAAACATGAATAGATTTGTTTTCATCAAGTCCCATAGTGTGAAGTTAGTAGAGTCTGTAAGTAACAAGTCTTGAGATTCTGGGTTAAGTCCCATCACAGTCCATATCCGAAAGTAGTTCCCTTACCATCCTGCTTGCACCTGGAATAGGGATTGTCACTTTCGACAATTCACTTGACTTCATAAAGTATGAGCACCTGTAGGGCTGCAAGGTTAGTTACTTTACTTAGTTGTCACTAGGGCCAAGTGGTTTGGAAGATGTTCTATTTATTTTCAGTATTACTTTCATTGAAAATTTAAGTCATACATAATGTAGTAGTATGCAAAGTAAATAATACATAAGTTTCATATAATAATTGCAGTTTTGACATTAGATTATGTATTAGTGGATGGTATGAAAGAAGGATGAATCTAATTTGAATTCATTTAATTGTTATTGTTTTGAATTTCAATATCGCATTTGGGCAGAAGTAATCGTCCTAGTAAAAGCTAATATTAAAATAGCAATGTCACCTTCCCCTTCCAATTCACCTCTTCCCTATATATTGATGACTCCATAAAATAAGGAAGAACCGTTTAATGTTTTACATTTGTGTGTAATTGCAAATTTGTGTGTATTTTATTTTACAGGTTTGGGGAAAAACTGCCATGGCTATTTTACAGAAAAAAATAGTACATAATGTCATGATAGTTAAAATGAATATTAAATACTTTTGAAGAATAACATTTTTTGGTTAGATTTCAGCATTACATATTAAAAATTATATTTATAAAATCAAAATTAAGTTATCATTCTGAATACCTTACTCACATTTTGCAACACGAAATCAAGCAGCTAACTTTTAAAAGTACAAAACGATTAACACAAAAACCGTACCCTTGAATAACACTACTGTTCACAAGTCACAAAAGTAGCCTGGCAACAGAGTTTCTAAACCAACAACAGGAAGACCACCAATAGAAGCAGAAAATTTTGCCAATTGGAAGATATGGTTAAACGCATGCTTAAAGACATTATTTTACTACTTTGATTAGAATGGTATCAAAGTAATTGCAAACTTGAAGCCTCAGAACCTTAAGTGAATTACTTGTCACTTCAATTAACAAGAAATATATACAGGTTGTCAAGTAAAAACAATTTTCCCAATATCAATGCAACAAAATTTAGTATTCCTATTCCAATATTCATCACAAGAATTTCCTTTAATAACTTACTTATTTGAAGAGGATTTAAGCTTACACCCTAATAAAATAATCCTCTTAATCGTTATGAATCACTTAAGATTTTACGTACCTTGAAGGGAGAGTAATGCCACTGCTTGAGGACACCTGTGCTGTTGCAGTTACAGGTGGAATACTTGACATTACTGGCAAACTTGGAGAAATCACCTTCTCACCAGGAATATTCTCAGGGACACGAGGCTTCCGCCGAGGAGATGAATGTGCAGGTGTGGAAGACTTAAGTCCAGGATACTGTTCGCGGTTGCTTGACCTAGGATGCAACTCTATGTCTGGTGAGTTGGTTATAGCACTTACAACAGGAGTGAGGCTTGGGTCAACACCTAGCACACTGGGGGAATGATCCTTCACAACCCCAATAGGAATGACAGGCTGTCCCACAAGTGAGGAAGCCACAGGAAGGTCAGATTGGGAAACTGTCACATCTTTCACGCTTACACTAGGTACCCCAAGTGGAACAGATCTTTCTCGTTCAAGTTCTTGTTTCACTAAGTTGTCAGCTTCTAGATTCAGAGTTCCTTGATCTTCTATTTTACCCAAACTAGATTCGTTTTTACTACCTTTAGAATTACTATTAATTTTATTTCCTATACTTGAAGCTTTTGGCTGTGTCTGTTTCCAGGAAGAAATTTGTTCATCTAAGACTATTGGAGGTTTACTAACAGAAGTGTCTGATTGATGTAAAACACTGTCACTTGATGGTGCTATACTGTTCAAAGTAACATGCTCAGGTCCATTAACATTTATCACTTGTTGGGGAGCACCAACACTAACAGGTTCAGAAAATGGAACCTGAGAAGTGGGAGGACCACTTGATTCTTCACTTGCAGCTTTTGCCACCCGTGCTGCAAACTCTGCTGCTACATCCAACTGACCTGATCCGGCACTCTGAGAATACAGAAAAATTAACCAAAATATATTAGATTCAAGAGCAAATTATACATGTTAATAGCTTCTTCATTATACAAATTTCAGAAATAAAATAAAATAAATAGATGAAGGAAAAGAATAGCAATAGTAATATAGAAAATGGAGATAATCAAAGATTATTAAGGGGACCAGGTACAACTATTTTGGGTGAAAATATCATTTTTTTTAAATGTATTTTGATTTCGCTAAAATCACCATTAAAAGTGTTGTTTTGTGAACATTTGTTGACTACTACACTTCAGTGACCACACCACCTCCTTTCTTTGACATCATCATATACATAGGAAAATACAAGTTTTTTCCATGGGTTTCGTTCTCTTATTGTTTTGTGTTCTGGCTAGTGTGCGTACGAATTTTTAGATTTGTTTGCGTGTTTCCCCTGCTTCGTACTGTTGTTGACAATGCCACATAGTAAGAAGTTTTGGTGTAGTAAGAAACATGGAAAACAGTTATCAGAGAAGAAAACTCTCAATACGATTGACACATTGTCATTAAAAGGTAGTGTTCAGTCCACACCATCACCCGCAATGGCAAATGTGCAGAGAGCGAGTTCTGAAAAATTGTTGAGTATAAAAGGTTTACACAAAGAATTCCAATCAGATAATGAACAGGTTGGTGGTGTATTGAAAACTGAATTTCAATTGCAACCAGTACTTTTGCAAACATTGCGACTGTGAAAATTATTTGAGTGTTGCTGAAATAGTAAACAAAAGAAAGGGTTTAGCATGTAAATTACAAATTGTTTATAGTAAAGGATTTTAAGTTAATCTGAAACATTTTTTTGGTCTACGCTGCATTGGAAAAGGGAGTAAAGGAAGTTAAGGCTTGCATGGAGTAATGGATTTGCCTAACCCTCCTACAAAATTCAATAAAACAATAAAATGTGTTGAAGAAAGTGTTAAAGCATGTGCTGAAGAATCAATGAAAGAAGCAGCAGTAGAAGTTGAAGACAGTGAATCAGATAACATTGCTGTTGCTTTCAATGGAAGTTTGCAAAAAGAGAGGCCACAAGAGTCTCAATGAAGTTGTAGATGTAGACATTCTTACTAAGTATTGCCACGGTTGTAAGAAAACAAAGGACAGTGCCAATCAAGAAAATTGTGCTATAAATTATAGTGTTTTTTCAGGTGGAGTGGAGGTAGAAGGTGCTGTGAATATTTTCAGGAGGCCCATTGAAAAAAGTTGTGCAGTATACTGAGCATTTTGGTGGTGGTGATAGTAAAGCTTATAATGCTGATGTGAAAGCCAAACCCAATGGCAATGCTAGTATTAGTAAATTGGAATGTGTGAGGCACGTTCACAAGAGAATGTGCATAAGGTTACAATGCATTGTTCAGGAAATGAAAGGCAAAAAGCTTCCAGATGGAAAAATGTCAGGTGATCGAATAAAGAAGCTGCAAGATTACCACAGTAATGTAATAACAAACAATACATATAATTTGGAATTCATGAGCAAAGCAGTGCGGGCAACGTGGTCAAAACCAAAGCATCAACAGAAAAGAATCCTATGTAGAATTTATGCTCAATAATCTATAGTTCAAATACAATAAATATTCTCAAAATTACAACACATCATGGTCTACGTCAAGATGTAATGGGAGGATTGAGAACGTGTTTAGATGGAAAGACTTAATGTTAATGAATCATTCAATAATTTATTTGGAATAGGGTACCAAAAATAATCTTTGTAAGATTCAGGACATTAAAGATCAAAATTGTTGATTCACTTCTCACATTCAATAAGGAAATGTTGGGAGGTTAAAAGTTTGAGAAAATTAAAGAATAAGTGCAGGTTACAACACAGCAAGATGTTTTGAAACGTTGGATGCATTAAGAATAAAAAATGCCAATAAATGTATTGAAATGACAGTTAAAGAACAAAAGGAAAGAAAAGGAATGGCGCCGGATGAAGATTCAAATTCTCTGTATGAAGTTGGAAGATATTAAAATAGGTAAATAAATGTATGAACTTTAAACATCAATTTCTCGGTTTTCCCACATTTCAATTTTTAGGTATGCTCTCTCTGAAAAAAACAAATATACATTTTTGAAAATAATACCATAAGTATAACTGAATTAAATTGATCTGTTAAATGTATTTTCATTCTTGTTTACCAAAAACTTTAGGCTGTAAATGAGAATATTCCTCAGAAGTTTCAGATTCTTTTGTGGTAAGTTATACAAAAATTATAAATATAATATAAAACAAGTTTTTGATTGGTAAGTATATTTAAACAACTTCTTAGATCCCAGAAAAAGTAAATTTCATAGGTATAGTCAAATAGATTTCTGAGATGAGCGTACATAAAATAAGCAAATTCAAAATTAGTAGTACAGGCAGTATGTGGTTCCCTTAAATGTAGCAAGAAATTTAGAGAGAGGGGGGGGGGGAAGTAAAATAAAATAAAAAAAATCCCCATTTACTCAAAAGAGAGAAGAGAGAGAGAGAGAAAGAAAAAAGAGAGAGAGAGAGAGAGGGAGAGAAAGAAAAAAGAGAGAAAGAGAGAGAGAAAAAAGAGAGAGAGAAAAAAGAGAGAGAGAGAGAAAAAAGAGAGAAAAAAGAGAGAGAGAGAAAAAAGAGAGAGAGAGAGAAAAAAGAGAGAAAAAAGAGAGAGAGAGAAAAAAAGAGAGAAAAAGAGAGAAAAAAGAGAGAGAGAAAAAAAAGAGAGAGAGAGAGGAGAGAGAGAGAGAGAGAGAAGAGAGAGAGAGAGAGAGAGAGAGGAGAAAGAGGGGGGGAAGAAAAGAGACACAACAAGGAATCATATTTTAACTTACTGGTTGAGGAGTTTCTCTGGCACTGGAATCACCTGACCTCGGTGGCGTACTGCTTCCACTTGATTCATATATATCAACGTTCTTCATTGTTTTAGGATCCACAACATCCAAGGCATGTTTGCGTCGGGTCTGTTTGCTGCCAGAACTACTGCTACTTGATACAGGGCCAGAAGGGGTGCCCGAGTCTCCAGCAAGCCCCGTCACACCCATTACATTGTTACTAGCAATTGGCATCATTGAAACTTGGCCAGTCTGGCCCATTGGCGGAGGTGCACCAGATACTACAACTGTTTGACTTGCACCTGCTGCAAGCCCTGGACCAACACCACCAGGGGCTCCAGCCATACCAGCACCTCTAACACTTTGATAAAAAACTGAAAATCAACAAAAAACAAATCTATAATTAAATATTATTCTAAATAGAAAGTAATCATATAATCAGTAAATGAATTTCCCTGAGGAAATAAGAATTGAACAAAGCCTGCTTGTTATCAAAACCAGTGGAATAGGTTTTGAGAATAATAGTTCTATCTGGTGTCATTTGGTTTTGTGGTAACTGATGGTTGTAGGGACAGCTTAAGAAATCATTGTTATAAGTATTGAACTGAATTCTTTCAAGTACTCTATCCTCTGTATATACCATACTACACTGAGAATAGATCAGTTTTCGTTTTTTTGACAATTCAAAAGAAACCACAGACCCGAAACCCTGTAAGAGATATTTGCTGGATGAGGAATTGCTTCTGCCCATCATTAACACATTTATCACAAAATAAATTAAGAAGTTTGCAAATCCACTTAACAACACAGGAGTTTTGAAGGGACATTTAGTTCTTCTAGTACCCTTCTTTATTGCATAGGTGCTCAAATATAAGAAGAAACATCTACAAAAAAATCATTTTACCATATAAGTGAATAAATAAAAATAACAAGCTGTTTGGACATGAGACCTTGTTCTTTTTCTCCTTGATGACTTCTTTCACTTCCTTAACCATAGATTATTTACATGGTTCCATATTCAAAATGTTTTTTTCCGGACTTGTTTCTGTAATTCATGATTTTACTTACATGTTTCTCCCAGGTAACCATTGGGATGTCTGCTGGAAATCTGAACAGTTTTGTGTTATACATAGTGTGGATTAGCCTTGTTTCATCGATCAATTTGCATGCTTCTTTCTACAAATGTTCAGTTTTCTTCTGATTAAGAATTTAATTCAGATTAATTTTTTATTGCCTCAAAACAGTCTTTGTCAAACCAAGCTTTAGCATGTCTCTCTATACTCAGAACTTTGGCAGTTTCTATTGCCTTGCGTGTCAATTTAATTGCCTTTCATGCCTTTTCTTCAGTTCTTCTTTGATCAAGAGCAGTATGTCTTGCTGTCTCCTTTTCAGTATAGCCTTCCTTTTGATTGTTTTTTACTCTCTTTATATGCACTGAAGTTTCTTTCGGCTGTAGTATCATACAGAATAGGTATACATTTTCATACAAAGTTGCATCTACAACACTGACTTTTTACTATGTAATTGAAACTGGTAAAAAAGTTATGCTTGTAGTATGTATGTTTTCACTAACAGGCTATTGTTTACTAGCATCCGCCCGTCCTGCATTACGTACTGCACCACACTGATGGCCCTTGAGTCATTCAAATCATTCACCAATTTATGTCTCCCAAGATCACTATACTTTCTTTCCTGTTCATTTTATTCGGTGCATCAGATATTCTGTCTATTACATCTATTGATGGACATTCAGGATTGAAATATGCACATACAATATTGATTCCCTTTGCTTTGATGACTAGTAGACTTTTATATCTGTCAATGATACAAGGAGCTAATGAGCTAGTTATGAATACCCACTATTCCTCCTAGTCACCCACTAGTGTTTTTTCAGCATATTTATGTTATGTTGTAATATTGTAGAAGTTGCACCTTTCTCTAATGGTACATGGATTTCAGATGTTGCTATTGCTCTATAACAGAATTTCTTATTCGTTTCAGTACATTGTTCAGTACCTCTACATTCCAATTAAAAATGTACATCTGCGTTACTCTACTCCAAATTCCTTAATGTGTTAGTCTCCTTTAATACTTTCCATGTACCATGGGAGTGTAGTGATATGGTCAAGTCATTTGTTGGGAGAAAAATATGTTTTAACTCTTCCAACTTCATGGTGAGTAGCTATAGGGTCACATCAGTGGTTGACTGGCAAATGAGGAAATATAAATCCACATGGTTGTTGAACTCAACTGATTACATGAACTATGTAATAATACTACTATAAATAATAATTACTAGGACTATAATAGATGTAAATACAAATTAGCTTTGCAATTATCTTGAAAATGAGCAAAGCCTTACAACAGCTCCACCCAGATAACAGAGAAACTGATGACACAGAGTTCATCATCGACTAAAGGAAGTTCTGAAGACTATCTTGACTCAAGAATCTATTGGCAGCTAACAATACCTACATTAGTACCGGTACTTTACGAGTATTGTCAAGGAGACCCGCTCTGACACAAATACCTTGCTATAGACATCAACCTAAGTGCCGCACTACCGAGGGAGAAAGAAGGATATGGTATTAACAACCTGTCAAATCTACACATCATGCAAATGAATGCTTCGAAAGAGTATATCAGAATAAAAGCTTGCAGCTGCATAAATTATTTTAAAAGGCAGATAATAATTACATTCCTCTTACCATGACATTAACTTTCAACAGTTATCAGTTGAAGATATACAGAAATGAAAGCAGAAGTCACTTGGAGGATCGTATCCTGCCGCCAATCAAAGTGTACAAATAGATTGAAGGTTAAAATACCCAATCTGAAATGCCTCTGAGCAGAAACTACAAAAATATCCATTGTAATAAATATCCAATTTATTGAATGTCCAAAAATGTTATTACAAAATGGTCCAAATGACCAAATTTCCACCTTATTTATTCGTTTTCTTCTCGCTGACTGCTTCTGGTTGCAATTGAAGTTTTAAAATATAAACTATTCCCTGCAGGTAGTGTTTAATATTCCTTGTGTTCATATACACATTTTAGTTTTACACAATATTCTCTACTCTTCTTTGATTGGTAAAATATTTTTATTTTTTGGAGGTCTAATGTGTACATAGCCTGCTTGCACATTAACGATAATACTTTGTCATGTTACACATTTACTTGCACTGTACTGTTGCAGTATTCTACAATTTTATTCACAATTACAACATGGTGACATTCATCACACCTTGTTTTCGCCTTTCTGTCAATTTTAAAAGGACATATGTAACACCTGAAAGGAAAAGGAAAAGTGCATTACATTTTTGGGAATTGCTCCTAGAATTTAGAAATTATTCTCTAGCAGGAACATCGCATGATTGGTTTACTCCAGCACATAAAATGACAGCAAAAAATGGCTTTGAACTCTTCCAAAGTTACATTTACCCATGTTTTATTCTTGGCAGCAACTACACATGCAGCTTCACGGTTTGTGCATGAAACTATTTTCTCTTGTTTCTTTAGAAATCAGCAAATCGAAATATTCTTGTGCCATGTTTACCGCAGTATTTTGTACCGGACCAGGAGGAACGTGGAGATCTTGTAAACAACATCTACTAGCTGGCACACTTCTGGACCATTCAAATCCAATTTTGGATATCATAAATCGCTAACTTTAAGATTAAGTCTGCGGTTCCTAGTTGAAATCAGATTCAGATGAACATGCATCACTGTACCCTTCATTTTGTCTACTGGATCTTGAAGCTGGGAAAGGTCCCCAAATGGGATCATTATAGTCATTTGAAATTCATTCACTAACATCACTCGTTCCTGATTCATTTAGAATATTCTCAACTTCTTGTGAAATCATCACTTGAAAACACAAACACCACTGGCAAAGTATGATAAATGCACACTCACTATTTTAGTTTGCAAATCACTCTCAGATAGCACTGAAACAGTATATTATCTAATTTTACATCCTATTTGTTTTGAACTCCTTTGAGTCTCAAATTTCCAACAAACTGCTCCCGCTGCACTCCAATGAACGGAATGTGCAGGGCTGTACATCACATCACATCTGTCAGATTTCCGAGGCCCCACTTTTGTGATGAAAACATGTTTAAGGAAAGTAAGCCATAATTCGATTTTGAGTAACTAATTCACCGATAAACACTCACAAATTGTTCTTTACATTACAATAAAATAATATCAAAACGGATAAAGATATCAAGCTATTTAAAATTAAAAATACCACCTGGCCTTCAAGGCCCCACTTCCGCATCAGAGGATTAAATAAAATGTAACAAATCTTTTAAGTAGTGACAATGAAACTAAATAAAAAATTAACTAAAAGATAAAACTTTTTCATGAATTTAACACGTTGACTACCACAATAACCAAGCCAATTACAAACCTTTTGGCTGAGCCTTTTTTACCCACCAGTTGGGTAGGGATAGTTGCTGATTATTCTCTATATTTATATGTAAAACCTCTTAATTTTGTGCTGTTTTGTTCTGAGAAACAGCTTTTGATTCATGTGGCCTTTGCACACATCTTTACGACGATGGCCGTGTGTATAATACGCTTACTCTCGGAAGTGCGCCTGTTCTTGTTCTTCATTCCTTTAAAGTTCACATGTGTAAAAATAATAGTTGTTCATAACATGGAAATAAAGTTTTTTTTGTCTCAATAAAATCCATCTCATATTTTATTTACACTTTCAATCAAAAAAATCTTTCCTAAAAATCAGGCCATGAGAATCACCACTCAATTCACCTAGGTGCACGCCAAAATTAATCTTTTGTTACAGATATACATTTTAAGCTCCCATAATGTAACACTAATTTGAGAAGCGAACACTGCCATTCACAGCTATTGAAGCCACATCATGACAGAATGTTCTGTTGATTCTTAAAACCATTTGGACCAATTCAGTCAGCATCACATTATACTTCTCAGAGAAACCAACATGTTAATTTCTCCCTTACTTTGTGTATTGTTTTGTGTGCATTTTCAATACCAATTACAGTAAAACCCCTCTAACACTTTTCAGGGGCCGGATGAAAAAAAGGGTAAAATGCAGGAAAGCGTAATATACACGTAAGTTGGAAAACGATAGGTTGGGCGAATACTTTCATTATTTACTGCAATGGTTACTGTTTTTTCACTTTCTCGCCCTACCTAAGAAAAAGTAAAAGCGTGCGGCGGAACCCAGGATTTTCGTCAGAAAATCTCCTATTGACGTACCCTGGTAACGAAAAAGTGGATAAACCATATTCCCATATATACTTTCTCTAACACGTGGTGTAACCTGAATCTGTTTTATGGGTCCTTGAAACCGTAAAATTGATTGATAGCCGTTTTCCCGGCTTAAACAATGTTTGCCGGCTGTGGTCAATGTGAGCGCCTAAACCGCCTGCCAATTTTCTCCAAAATTGATATTCTTTGACTGATCAAAAACAAATGCGAGGCTTTTGCGAGTTTGTTACATACATGTGTAGTAATCTACTACACACTGGATTAGGGTTTACTCACTTTACTCACTCACCATATCAGTCCGAGTTTTTCTGTCGAAAAATTGCCCTTTTTGGCTGCAGCACTACATACTTTCCTCAGCGCTACGTATAAAACGTACGTAAATGAAAAAGTAAAAAAAGAAAATAAAATAATTTTTTAAAGAGACGTGTAAGATGGGAAGTGCTCTTCATATATTAAGTTGTAAATTGCGGGAAGAGAATGCATTGTAAATACAGGCTTTTCAACGGGACCAACGAAAAATTATGTCAAGGGCAGGAAAACTTAAAATACGGGAACGTAAAAGCGAGATTTTACTGGACTAAGAAATTGATGAAATAATAATGAAATCATATTCAAACATCACAAACTAACAAACAATTTACAAGAGATCAGTATAGCCTATTTGATTCAAATGTAAGCAATAGTTTTCAAGAAGTCAACTTCTTTAGAGGTAGATTCTTGAAATTTCATAATTTGCAGTTGATTCATAGTTAAGTGGCCAAGGAATGTGCATAAAAGTTTTTTGTATTAAAATCCTTTAATTGGAGTTCGGGACTTTCCAGATTGATGAAAAGTGCGCCATCAATGGATCATCTATATTCTAATGAACCTTTCTACAGTATCAATGAGGCATTGCGTACAACAAAATATTCTCCTGGATATTGTTCAACATAGTTGAAAGGGTACCTTGGAAAAACATTACTTAAACCAGTAACAATGAGAAACACCAAGGAGAGGGCCATCTCCTTCACATGTTACTCACTACCAACTTGTTTTACAAGGCAGGTTTGGGAATAAGAAACTATCAATATTAGTGTCCACTATGAATTTGACCCAATAGTTATGAATTGTTATGGTGTATTTTGTAATTAAAGAATTTGATCTTTTAATAATAAAAGTGACGCCACAGTGTAAACAGGCTTTAACAGCAAAAAAACTCATGCAAATCTCTGTACTCTGTCAATTTAGTTACTTCAGTACATTAGCCACTTGCTCATGAATTTGTAAACATTTTGTGATGTATGTGATGACACAAAGTTCATGTGCTGGAGATAGATGCAGTTCAATTGCTGAACTATACAGTGGTTAATTCCCTTTAATGACACCAAGTGCTCCATAATGCATATTGGGAAAAATAACCCTAAACTACATTATCACTTTGGTACAAGTGTGCTGTTGCCATTGACAACTATAAAGGACTTTAGAATATTTTATCTCAAAAGATCTTAAATGGGATACCCGTATACAGTATCTTATATTCACAAGAATACTGAAATCTCAAGTTTCGCAAAGCTTACATGAGATTAACAAAGACTTCAGTGTGCAGTAGAAAACATGCATTCTTCTCATCAAATTTGGCAATAACCTATGGAACACTCGTTACAGGATGCTCCCTTGAGGAAATATGTTTTACTAATTTACTTTTTCATTTTTTTTTGTGTAGAATGTGAAATTACTTTTATAATAACATAAATATGTTTTAAATGTTTTTGAGATAATAATCATTACTTACTTACTTTCTAATTGTGTCTTTATAGTCGTGCTATTCAGATGAAATATTTAATGGGAAAATGTTGATTGAACACATTTACAATAGTTTATAAATAGTTTTGATGTATTATAAGTTTTAGAATTGGTACATTTTCTAGAAGAACATTGACTGCACAGTGCATGTTTACAATACTAACAAATAGTATTTGTTTTCATCTTCAGTGTCTTAGGAGAAATAGAGCAGTATTTTCTGCTTGATAAATTTTCCATTCTCTTTCGGTTTTCTAATTTTCTTTGTCTACTTTTTTCTTAATTCAAATTCTAGTGTCTCATCAAAAATGTTGGGCAATCTCTTTTCTAATTCCTTGGTAACTAGTTCCACAGGCTCTTTATAAATTCAGCCTCGTTACCAATGCCATTAGCGCTAAACACGAAAAACATCAAGGATACGACTCGAAAAATAAAAAGGTATTACCAAGTATATGCTCAAAAATCAAAATACAATTAATATAATACTTATATAATTAATCAATAAAAAGGTTTTAACGAACTGCTTAAGCTGCTAGATATGATACAGATTAATTGAGGCTTCTTCCTTTCGTTCCAAATGAAGTCAGCTTTCAAATATTTCGGTTTGGACATTTCTTTACCAGCAAATCTCAGTCTAGTTATCGCAAATCTGTACAAACAACAATGGGTTGATAAGATTAAATTGAACTATAGATTACATTCTTGCAATGGTAATATTACACTTGTGTGGAATGAAATCAATAGGCCGGCGATGATGTAACGGTTAGGGTACTGACTGTTGTTACCAGTTGGCGGGGTTCAAACATGATCAGAAGCCGTGGATTTTTAGGGCCGAAAAAAATCTTTCGTACGCCTTCCTTCGGAGGCGGAAGTTAGCCGGCTGTCCATGTTCGTAGTTTATTGCATGTAAAGATCCTCAAGCCTAAATAACGCTCTGAGCTATTCAAAATGGCCTGTTCTCCGCCCAAGAAATACCGTCCTTTCTCTCCTAGTTGGTGAACAGGAGCATAGCGAAATTGCGTGGTGAGACGAAGAGCAGGCCTGATGGCCCGAGTCTCGCCACGTAAAATAAGGCAAATTCAATTCAATTCAAAATAGGCAACTCAGGACTTCTGTGGAAGACATTTGTAGCATGGCATAAATATTATTGGAAGCAAGTACCATTCAAATATTAAAATCAATGAACTCTGCCAAAAATGCTTAAAAATGACAGAAGATAAAAAATGACTTATTAGCTGAAATTTACAAAAAATGCAAAAAATTTCAAAATGGGTCATTTTTTTTAGCCATAACATAAAATTGATGTTTATACTACAAGACATTATTCAGAAGTGAGCAGGGAAAAAATTATATTTCATTAAAACATGCTCCCTAGAGATAAGATTTATTTCGTTATTTTTTTTTAGAGGGGATCTTGTGATACAACACGCTCTAGTAAAGTCTCTGCACCGAACCAAATTAGGGACTATTAATAATGTTGAATTAATCCTGGTAATAACCAGATTTGTTTTCTTTTGTTACAAGCTACAACGTGTACTTCCAACAAACATTCTCCTGCTAGCACTCTCATCAGCAAGGTGTCACCGTGGAGACATTTTCCTGGCACAATGTTTTAGTCATATGTTATTTCATAATATATTATTAATTTATTTGATTTTGGTACACATATTTATAAGTTAGTATGTTACATGTACCACCAAAAAAAAAATTCAAACATTCGCAGTAGCCTAAGCATCAGGAAAAAGATTTATTGCTACCATGTTTCAATGTAATTAAAAAATCATACCAAACATTGACTATATAAATTAACCTGCAGATGCACCCAGCATTCTACTTAACAAGAATTATTTTTTTTAACTTGCTGCTTTGCAAGCACCTTCTAACTATACTAACACAAATTGTCTTTAATGTTAATGAATAGAAAACTATCTTACCCCCACCTTTTGTATCACAACTTATGGATTGATTTGGCATAACATTTATCATCCTTCAAGCATGATGAGAATAACTTAATAATATGAGGTGTATTCAATAACTAAAGACACAAATTGGGCTGGAGAAATAAATGTTTATTTTTACAAAAGATTTTTCCTGCTTTTTAATATAATCTCCAACATTTATAACTTGTTCCAACGGGTTACAAGCTTCGCTACAGTTGCAAAGAACTTTTATCTTTATATTTGAACTAATTTTCCACACGTTGACACACATTTCCACAGGTTACACACAATTTCTTTGCCATCCACATTATCTTGAAATTTCTTCCCACATAATGCCCTCTTCAATGGACCAAATAAATTAAAATGTGCTAAATCATGGCTGTAAGGGGGATGAGGTAGTACCTCCTAACCCATTTTGCTGATGGTTTCATACTTTATTGAGCAGTGCAAGGGCTTGCATTGTCTTTGTGGAGAATCACCCCTTTGCTCCGAGAGCCACAATGCTTCTTTCTCATGACTGAACCTTGTTTACAAGCATATTTGAAATGCTGTTTATATGCTATTCTCCAAGATAAAACAAACACACACACACACACCTACTGCTTCTCCAAACACCATCAACAAAAACATTGCTCATTAGTTTAGAGACATTTGAAGTTGTTCAAAAGGTTAGTTATATCATTTGCATTTTTCGAGGGATAGTTGAAGGGCTAGTAGGATAGAAGGTCCATTACAATATGAAGTAACCATCACCAACAATACAAGAAAGTATGTGCTATCAAAGAGAAGCATCACCAAACATTCTAACATATCCATTTTTTTGAAGTGTAATGCCCAACATCAAACTTAGTTGCTTCAAAAAATCCAGATTTTAAGCATTACAAAGTCCAATGTGAAGTAATAATGTTAAGTAATATTTAATGAAAAAATATGTTATTTAGAAACCAAAACTGCATTTCATTTCCATTACCTGCATTACATAATTAAAACCAAATTGTATGAAGACTGATACATTAATGATGAGGCCTTTTTTCCAAAAAGTACTTTACTATATACAAGCTAGTAACATTGGGCAAGTGAATTGTCGCTCTGTATAGTATTTGTATACCACTTACATGATTGGCTTGGTTGAAATCCCTGGTAAGGTATCTGCTGTGGCATCATCAGTTGTTGACCAGCAGGGCTTGGAAAATAATTAGTTCCACCACCTTGATGACGGGAACCAGCTGCAGAAAACTGGAAGGAAAAAAAAATAATTATGTATTGAAAATATCACACAATGGAATGGAATGTTCCAATATCCGTTGATAACGAGAAAAAGTACATTTTTGACAAATCAACAAATATCTAAAAATGGTAACACATTATAATTATTAGGATATATAGGAAAGAATACTAGCTGATAACTAAGTAAATTTCCTATGCACCAACATCAATGTCCTTGAAATCGGTGAAGCAGAAGAATATCCAGAGAGTTGAGAGTAACTTTATGTGTAGCGTATGGATTTTGATGTAAATATATATTTTTACAGGATTTTTGTATTTGTTTTGTTTTGTTGTTTTTGATTACAAGATACTCTGAATTAATTAGAATCATTTTTACTTTGCATATTTTCAACCAAAAAAAATTACATAATATATTTACAAAGCAAAATTGAACATTTTCAGAAGTTTGTCAATATATATAATTCTGTGACCACTGGATCTTTCTCATGAATTGTCAAAATTACCCACTCCCCTGCTTCTTGGAAAACATGTACACAAAATGAATATGCTCATGTTTCGTAGAACCTGTGTGTAAATCTATCAAAATATGACAAATATGTCAAAGATATTTGTCTTAATGCATTTTCTGTACCTCCCAAGGAAACGTTTGTCAGATACATAGAATTCAGAACTTATTCATAAAATCCCATCCTTTAGTGTTTAATAAGATCACTCCATTTGGAAGTGATGTTATCAGTATGCAGTCCTTTTTTATTTCTTATATAAATAAAGAAATATGCAAAGTAATATACATCATATAGTAAAAAGTTTTGTAATGCTGTGGAAAATAGATTTCAAGAATTCAATGGAAATAAATGTTTTGGGCCCAGATATCGAAAAAGTTTTAATCTGAAAGTGTATGTCACATGTGAACAAAACAAGCACCTAAACTATGCGTAGGATTTTTTCCAAATTTAATATACCTCTCAGAAATTTGTTCAGAAAGAAAAATTAACACAAATTAAAAAAGCACCCAATTTACACATTTTGACTGCTTTTTTATTTTTCAGTAATTTCTCTTTCTGAACTAATATATTTATATCTTTAGTAAATAATAAAAATTTACATTTCTGAAGTGTTCCTATGCTTCTGCAATGCAAATTTTTTTAAGAAAGCATTTTTTCAATCAACTTTTGAGTGGTTATTGCGGCTCAACCATTCGGAATATACGAGTAGTTCATAAGGCAAAATATTCATAAAATTGTTTCAAGAGCTTATTAGCGAAGTTTTGATGTATCCTCCCCACATTGTATATTAGGACTTATGTTATCTATGCAAACAACATTTAAGCAGGAATGTGTACATTAGCCTGTTACCCCATAATAATTCTATGATTTTCATGTTGATCAATGAAGTACTGAACAGAATGTGATAGTGAAGTAAATCTTGCCTTGGGATGAAAAAATTATACGGCTACTAGAAAAAGATTTCAATCTAGATAAATTAACGGCAAGTACGAATGGACACTATGTACTTGCATCACAATATGGCCTGATACCTCAACCTATGGAATATAAATACACCAATAAGTATAAAAATTGTAGCTTATGAAATAGATAAATATATTCATAAATTAATAAACATTTCTGGCATGCGGTATGTCAAAGAACTACAGTACTCTGTGTTACCATGTTGGTAATTTTTGGTTCCTTTAGTATAATTTCCAAACCAAATTGTCAGTATTTTTAAAAAAATGTAACCATCTGTCACAGATTTTAATGCAACATTGTAAATGAACTGAAAGAATATGAACCAAGTGCAAAATTTTAATTGTTTGCAACAATTTATTTTTGAGATAGAACTGCTTTAAGTCGTTTGTAAATGAGACCGCAAACACAAACCACAAATTAAACTTCATGTGCATTAAGATGTTGTGAAAACTTGTAATTACCACAAGAACTTAATCCCTGCTACTTCAAGAGTACTTGATATATCCAAATTGAACAGTGCACTCAATTTCAAGGGTAGGCCAGTAAAATGAACTAGTAAGTCCTAGTGGATGCATACACTTGAATTTTTTCTCCACTATTAATTTTTTGATCAACACAAAATACCATTTTCCATTACACAGGCGACATAATAGTTAATTTTGAATTGCTGCTACAACTGTTTTCCTAGGGCAATATGAAGGAAAGGGAGGAAAAAAACAAAAAACAAAAAACTTTAATATTAGTATTATTCTTACTTCACTAATAATAGCATGGGTAATGCAAACTAAGTGGATGATCACTGGGTATAATTGCTTGCTAGCATATGAAATATCTATCTTCAAAAGATAGTTATGTTTTTGAAACTTTTTACCCTCGGAGCTATTTTATGACATCGGAATCAACGTAATCTAGTGTCAAAATTTGTAGTTTAACACACCAGGCATATTGAGCAATAGCTTCTTTCTTTGATCTATCAGCTCTGAACATTCCTTCTCCAATGCATTTAATAGGACCTACGAACTGATCTGTACAATTAAATTAATTTTTGGTTCAAGCCACACATAGTATCATGGCAATCAGTACATAAAATAAATTGTACATAGAGAATATAACAATTATATTTTTTTCATCTAATTAATAAAGTATTACCCACATTCTCAACAAATTAAGCATCACACAAAAAACAAAAAACAACATGTTTGTTAAAGTAAATCATTTCTACATGATAATCATCAACTAAGCTGTGGTTCTCTCGCATATTCAGATGCATTTAGTTTTGTTTAATTGCTATACACAGCATGTTTTACTTTTGGATGAGGAACGTATTTATAAGTTGGTGACAATTCAAACAAAAGCTGGAATGTAAAAAGTAACATTAAAAAAAAATTATTTGAAGTAACACAGGAACCTATTATTACAATAATTATCATCTTCCTCTTCTAATCTCCTCAAACTTTCAATTCTTTTCATCTGTTTTCAGTATTAATATTAGTGGAATTGTAGGAGGTACTGATATTACAATGTGCTAAATGCATGCTAATGGGTTAATCTGCTGGGACTCCATTCTCAATGAGTTTCCATTCTTCTGTTAGTCCCACAAATTGGTGGGTAACTCAAATGTTTTTTCTCTAATTTGATGAACTTTAATTTTATTTTTACTGAAACCTAAGTTTCAATTTTCTTTTACTTTATATTTATTTGTTTTGATAACATCATTAAGGGATACTGGACGGTTCAATTTATTAGCAAAAGATTATTCTTTTACTGCTACTGGCCATTTCATTACTTGGGATTGAACTCTGAAATAACATCCTGGTCGATTGGTTCCTTGTTATATTTATTTTGTATAGATTCAATGGCACTCAAGACAGTAAAAATGGTAAAATATAAACATGTGATTATAAAATTTCAAAACGCCAGATCAAATGGCAAAAAGTATCAAGCAGTCTAATTAGGTAATCTATACAATTTTGTTTTATTCAGAAATACAACTTCATTTCTAGTTCCTTACAGTAACTTAGAACTATTGAACAACAGGTAAAATATCTTCACAATTACTGAAGATTTTATAGGAAAGTGCTCAGCATATTTGAGGATTTGCCAATGATTTATCTATTTACGATGTTTTAAGGAATTGTATGGTTTCAGAGAGGAGTGTAAATTGGTAATAACATCAGGTTAAGTTCTTATTAATATTCTATGAATTTGGAGTAATGAGATTCTTGTAGAGAAAAATGTATTAAGCTTTTTATAATCAAACATGATTTTTGGCATTGAGAACTGAGAGGTTTGAACCCCAGGGATGACCATAAGTGCTTAAGCTTTCAAGCTCGATTTTCTTCATTGTTCAAATATTTTCACTTTCCCATATACATATGTATATACGAAGTAATATACACACTATAGGAAAAGTTTTGTAATTCTGCAGAAAAACACCTGTTTTGCGATCCCTTGATTAAAAAACAACCTCCCAAACAGCTGTCTGTCTCTCCATTGAGAACACTACTAGCACCTAAACTATAAGTAGGATTTTTTCCAAATAGAAAGAACCCCTGATGATCTGGCTTGAGTTGAATCTCTGAAATTTTGAAAAAATTCTTTAACATTTAGGGGTTCTTTACATGAAGCCTCTCTGACATTTAAAAATTTTCTCAAAAGTAGCTCCAATTTTTCTTTTAATTTCTTGTCTGAATGGAGTAAAATACACCTACACCTATACAAGGTTGCATAGTTCCAATTTTTACTGTAAACTCTGAATTTTCAAAACTTTTTAAAATAAGATTTTTTCCAGCATCTTTCTACAACTGCAAAAATTGAAGATTATATATTTTCTTCAAATAAAATTCATCTAAGGGCGTTTTCGTTTAAGGTCATATACATATTTTGTAAATTTATTAGTTGTTTTGGGCAATATGGTGAGCATTCTGTGCAATTTAAAAAAATTACAATACCAATTTTTCACAAAAATTGCTCCAATTTTTTCTTTAAACTTTTGGTAGGGATAGTGCCAAATGAACCATACAAGTTGACAAAAATGCCATGTGGCTCTATTCTTTTTTTCAAAAATTCGCCAATTTTTTTTTTATTCTCATGTCATTATTATTTACATTATCAGCAATTTGTTTACATTGCTATATTTTCGACTATGTGTGCTTTAAATAACCATTTTATGTGAAAACTAGCTAAAAATTCTTCATTTTCAGAATAGTTCAAACAGCATTTTCTCAAAATCGACTAAACATTTTTTCCTTAATCTTTTCGAAAGGATATTGCTAATTGTAATTTAATATAAATTAAAGCTAATTTGAGGTATTTTTTGTTCTTTTAATCTTTAATTAGCCAATTGCACATTCCATTGGCAACGGTTTCCTGCTCGCGCAGGGAATTAATACTTCTAATGAAGTGGTAGGATGATGACCAAGGGTGAAGAGATGATCACAAATACATCCATGCCTGAGGCGCGATTCAAACCCTCGATCCTTCAATCTGAGATTGCCACAACACTACTGCCTTTGCGATATCGGCTATCCGGATCAACTTTTCAAAAATTACAAAAATGTATTTTTTTAAAAAGATCTGTCATGCTGTTATAATTTTTAGCAATTTGTATACATTACTATATTTGTAAGTTAAGAGTGCTTCAAATAACTTCATATGAAGCTTTTTAAAAATTCCAAATTTTCTGTGAAAAAGTGCTTCAAATTTCTAATTTATTGTTTACGATAAAATGCTTAAACACGATTTTCTTAAGAACGGCCCCCTTTTTTCAAAGAAAATTACTATTTGGGTTGAGGCTTTTCTCTTCAACATTTTCCTGATACTCTTCTTCAACATTTTCATACAATACCTCTTCTTCAACATTTTCATACTACCTCATTCTTCACACTACTCTTTTCATTTACTACTTCTTCTTCAACATTTTCATACTAACTCTTCTTCACATTTCATACTACTTTCTTCAACATTTCATACTACTCTTCTTCAACATTTTCATACTACTCTTTCTTCAACATTTTCATACTACTCTTCTTCAACATTTTCATACTACTCTTCTTCAACATTTTCATACTACTTTCTTCAACAATTTTCATAACTACTCTTCTTCAACATTTTCATACTACTCTTCTTCAACATTTTCATACTACTCTTCTTCAACATTTCATACTACTCTTCTTCAACATTTCATACTACTCTTCTTCAACATTTCATACTACTCTTCTTCAACATTTTCATACTACTCTTCTTCAACATTTTCATACTACTCTTCTTCAACATTTTCATACTACTCTTCTCAACATTTTCATACTACTCTTCTAACATCTTACTTCTTCAATTTCATACTACTCTCTTCAACATTTTCATACTACTCTTCTTCAACATTTCCATACTACTCTTCTTCAACATTTTCATACTACTCTCTTCAACATTTTTCATACTACTCTTCTTCAACATTTTCATACTACCTCTCAACATTTTCATACTACTCTTCTTCAACATTTTCATACTACTCTTCTTCAACATTTTCATAATACTCTTCTTCAACATTTTCATAATACTCTTCTTCAACATTTTCATAATACTCTTCTTCAACATTTCATTAATACTCTTCTTCAACATTTTCATAATACTCTTCTTCAACATTTCATAATACTCTTCTTCAACATTTTCATAATACTCTTCTTCAACATTTCATAATATCTTCTTCACATTTCATAATACTCTTCTTCAACATTTTCATAATACTCTTCTTCAACATTTTCATAATACTCTTCTTCAACATTTTCATAATACTCTTCTTCAACATTTTCATAATACTCTTCTTCAACATTTTCATAATACTCTTCTTCAACATTTTCATAATACTCTTCTTCAACATTTTCATAATACCTCTTCTTCAACATTTTCATATATTTCTTCAACATTTCAAATACTCTTCTCAACATTTCATAATACTCTTCTTCAAACATTTTCATAATACTCTTCTCAAAACATTTTCATAATACTCTTCTTCAACATTTTCATAATACTCTTCTAATTTTTATTCTATAAAATGTGACAATAAATAATGTGCACATATATTTTCAATTATTAATTTTGAATGAGATGTTATACTAGTTACTTCATATAAGAATAGTCAAAACGCCTATTTAGCAGTGATCTATGACAATTTCCGATATTTTAGTTACCAGCAGTGCTACTCGACAAAATGATGACCACAACAACAACAACAAACTAGTGGTACTAAAACAGCACTTACTTTCAATTAAATAATCAAATACTTTCCAATAAACATTAACTAAAAAGACAAACATTAGAAAGTGATGCAATAGCCATTCTTTTTTAAATTTTTTTTGCATATTATGATCAAAAGAAAAATAAAGTCAGCAACACTGTGCACGTACACTTCAAGATAAATCTTATAACGGTCTCTAGGCGCTGAAAAAAACGCTAAAAATTAATAAATATTCCAAAGAAATCACCTAAATACTTCTGGAATTCAATTAATAAATAATTAATCATCTGGATATACCAAGATATACAGTTTCAAGACTGTGTTGCTTTCACTCCACAGCTTTAAGATATCTTAAACAAGATAACTATTATCAACCTAACCTAAAAACATAGCTCTAAGATTTATTTGCCCCCAGTATGAAAGAACGGTGAAGGCGATTATACTGTCAGCAGATTCAACTTTATATACTAGTACATCAATACATACAAATTGTAGAATTAAGTAAAAGTGCGAGACAACAGACATTGTCAATAGAAAATTAAAAATAGAATGAATTTAATTATTTTTCATATCATTCTATTTTTTTTATGGTCCACAGTATATATTTCATTAATTTTAACCAGAAATAACACACACACTACTTGGTTTTTCAAAAAAGTTTGTTGCAAAGAATATCTTTCAAGGAGGGAGATAAGACCTGTTGTAACTGTTTATTGTGTCAGGAAGAGGCTTGTGAATAGGACAGACCTTTATGGTATTCAATTTTGAATTCATGTTTTATCTGCAAGACAATCATTGATACAAACTTGGATTCTGTGATTGATTACAAAGTTACAGATCAGTTTTAGATCTTCACCATTTGTGCTCAGGTTTTGTAGTATATGATGTATAGGCCATGACGTATCATGCCCTTTTTACATACTTGGCAAACTTCTATAAATATGTCGTAGCAATAAATGCATTGCATATTTCGTTTTGGATATGTTCAAATTATCATATGTAGCTGATTGTTTTACAAATCCACTTTGGTGGGTGGGATTTTGAATTAATTTTTTGAAGATGCCATAACCTTATTTCTAAGCTTTTACATTAACTTGCATATTATGGAGATCACCATAACAGAACAATAGTTTTCCAATTACTACCTTGTTTGGGAACAAGTACAACAATCACTTCTAGCATTAGAAATGTCTCGTGAAGAGCTGTCCCAGCCTATTTAGGTCTTTGCCAGAAAGGGATGAGCGGGCTATTATAATAATAAATAAAAACAATAATCGGAGTTTGCCATATTATCAGAAACATTTCATATTGCAACAGAGATAATTGCTATTTAAATCCTCTATCAGGGAAATACTTAATGAAATCCTTATATTGTTCTCTGGTCCAGCTGCTGCAATTTTAGATACTTTTATTTTATTCTTGATTTCATGATAGTGAAAGGATTTTTCTAATGATATGTTAATGCCAAACCCAGTCATTTCAATAAATTTCAATATGTGAGGTAATATACCATCTGAAGAGTTTGAAAAAGTTGATACAGGCTTATTTGAATTTTCATGTCAATGATAATGGTGTATTCCTCAGTAAACAAATTTAGGATAGGTAGCTTTACAGATACCTCATTCTTCTAATTTTATTCCATTACTGTGTTGTGGAAGTCTGATGAGACATACCAGTTGTATTAAATTCATGACGATAGATTTAGCTCTCAATCTGTTGAAATCAAATTCATTAGCATTGTAAGATGTTTATATTAAATATTATGCATAAGACTTATTCTGATCCTTTAGTGCTACCTTACAATTTTCATTCTGCCAGGTTTTACTCTTTTCATTTGGATTGTAGGATGGTTTAGGAACAATAACATTAGCTGCAATAATACCAACTATAATGTTCAATTTTGTTTGTCAATGTAAGTGGCCACTTTGTTATTTGTGGATTCAGTGGTAAAACCGTTAGTGTATTCGGCTGTTGTACTAAAAGCTTGTGGGTTCAAATCCAATCAAAGCCATGGATTTATAAAGGCAAAAAAATCCTTTGCATCCTTCAGAGGGAAAGTAAAACAGGCAGCCCCAAGTTGGAGATTTACTGCAAGTAAAAGACCCTCAAGCATAAAAGAAGTCTCTGAGCTAAATTCAAATCTGTTTGTCACCCAAATAATACCTTTCTCCACTAGATAAAGAAAGAGACTAGCGAAATTTGCATGGTCAGACTGAAGAGCAAATCTGATAGCATAAGTCTCATCTTGTACATTAGGCACAAACTAACTTCCTTTAATATTTATAGATTGTCTTAGTTTTTGGTTGATTATCTTGCGAAAGTTGAACAAATTTACATGATGAAATTTTCAATATGGGACCCCTGCATCCGAGCATTGTGTTGACACGCAATAAGCAATGTGCACTCGTGCAACACAGGGCTTACCTTGCTTAGATTCACCGTTTGTTTTTATTGAGTTGTGATGGGTTTTCGAATGTATTGCCAAGGGTTGTCTGGTCTAATTTATTGGGTTTGGCATTCGTGGGAAGGTTCAGATAATCAAGTCTTTTCCATAATGGAATTTCGCTGTTTGCAAATTTGCCAGGAACCCCTAATATTGTGTAAACATAACACAATATTTATTTGCCTATAATAATAGTTTTGAAAATCTACTCAAATATTAAACATCTTCAATTATACATATTACAGTTTGCAGTGTGATAACAAAAATTCACATTTATCGCCAATTTCAACCACAAAAGACTGGTAATATAGAGGCATTTAAAATCATTTAGGATTGAATTTACTGTATAAAAATAGTAAATATTGTGTTGTGTTAATGCAACATTGGGAAGAAAAGGGTTAAATAAACCATTTTTTTTGTGTGAATGTTCTAATCAAAAGATGTAATATTAGGTGTAATATGCTCTCTTGATTGTTCCATTGACATATGCCAAAGGATGTAATCAATGACAACATTTACCATCTTACTATTTGCTGTGTCACTCAATACATCATTTTACACCACCCAAGTCTGAGCTCTTGTTAAATGCATTTTTTTGGCTTCACCAGCTTATTCCTTTTTAAACTTTTGCATTTCACTTCCTTGTATTTTCCAGGTTTTTCACATACCTTTTTCTTCCAAAATTAGCCACCCTGACTACCTGATTTAAAGCTGCTTCATTTATGATACACACAGTAAGTGATTCTACTGTAACGGAAATTTACATTATCTACCAAATAAACATGGGTCACTAAAATATTTTCACTGCCAAGACAGAAATCCGACCCTTTAAACAAAATGCTATGAGAACAGAATTAAAAAGTAAGAGGTCAAAAGCCCAAATTTTACTTCCAAGATCGAGAAAGTTGTAGTTAAAACAGCTAATGTTTATATTTAAAATTACTACATTTATATTAAAAATACTACCTTCTTGTGGGATTTTCATTTATCCACTTCCAAATGTTCTAATACTAAGTTTCATGCTACAATGTGGTCTGTCTCGTAGAACATATTTTGCCTATGAACTTCAATTTATGGAGCAATACTTGAATTTCAGAAAAAGTCCAGACTTAAGATTTTTTGCTTTACTTAACACAATTTTTATCATTGTAAGAACCTCTGTTGTAGTAATCTTTAATAGTAACGAAAACTCTCACCGTTAGGTCTGCTCTTCTGCTGAAGCACTTGGGATTAATATAAATCAGTACAAAATTGACATATTGGAAAGGAAAAGGCAAACTTTTTGAACATTATTATTTTCACTTCAGCGAATGTATAGTTTAACTGTTACAAGATATTGCATAATTTTCTAAGACGATAGCACCAAAATATAAACTTGATTAATCAGTTGAATGAATATTACATTATTATGATCATTAAATGATGCATGATGTTTAAATGCCCCAGAAATCAAAAAATTGCATTAAAAACAGAAAATATTACTGCAGACCTTCATTGGGAAATTCTCCATGCACTGAAATAATACAACTGTTCCCAATTAAAGAAAAATATGAGAAGTAAATGATGTTTGTTGTAGACTGTAAAACAAGCAATTCAATTTCAACTTTTCGAAAATACACTTGAAATTGATGTTTACAGAACATATACATATAAAGACATGAATTCATAAAAACAGAAGAAGAAGAAAAATAAAAAGTTAATCTAATCATATACTAGATCTATCTACTCACCATTTGCATTTGGCTAGGTACGAACATTTGACTTGGATTAATGGGAGACACAGGGTACATTTGCATTTGCTGAATAGGTACCTGCAACATCATACATTCATTACAACATACACAATTCATTGAAATTTGTTCAAACTGTCAGTTTACAAATGAACTATAAGTAATATAATGTGAAAAAATGACCTTAAGAATTGTGGAAGCAAAACTTACATGAGAGGGAAAGATTTGTTGTCCAACATTATTTGTTGACATATTGACAACTTGACCTCTATGATTGGGCATTCTTGGTGTGGGACCTCGTGGGCCAGTAAAATAAGGCTGCAACATTTAAATGCAAGATTGCAAGAACGATTAACACACAATCCCACCAATAGTAATGAAGAAATCCCAAAAAATACTAAACTTGTAATAATTATATTTAAATTTGTAATCTTAATAAATGAAATGTAGCACCATGTAAAATAAGAAAATGTACCTGAGACTGATTTGGCCTAGTCTGATTCGGCACACCAAAATTCAACTGCATCTGCCCACCTGAAACAAAACATTTCAGTTAAATAGTTTGGAAATGCATTTAAAAACTTTCCTTACAAAACATCAATCTCCAGTATTTAGAAAGGAATACAAAAGACATTAGACCTTGAGGAATCTGAGGCTGTGCTTGAAGGTGGGGTGGACCCTGCTTGCCCATATCTGCTGGACCAGGAGGTGTAGAAGTTGGTGCTGGGCCAGGTGGTCCACCTGAATGCTGATTATTATTAGGAGGTGGTGGCTGTTGCTGGTGTGCTGGGGGTAGAGGAGGATTTGCCCCGTGATGAGGATGATGAAGTCCCCTCAGCTGTGGCCCTCCCGGGGGCGCAGCCCCACCTCCTTGCTGGGGAGGAAACGCTGTTGCTGCTACATGGAAGCTAACATCGGGTCCTGCAAAAAAGAACCACCTTGGTTGGCCCATCAGATTCCAAAAGAATTTTCTCCACAGTCTGGCATACTCTGGAGATTTTGATTACTTACGTTGCTGTGGAGTAGTAGAACGAGAAACAAAACTAATTTACAAGTTAAGGATTAATTTCATATTTTTGAACTTAGCAATAATCGTAAACTTAAATAGAAGAAATATAGTGGGGGAGGAATAAAATAAATCAATATGACATCTCACAGAATAGAGTTAAGAAAACTAACAGGGAAGTAAGTTTGACTGCCCATTATTCAAATAATTAAACTACCACAAAGCTGATCAGAAATCCTACAAATAAAGGATTTTAAAATATATGAGTATATGCTTTGCGAATTACCGATGTCAGATCGAAGACAAAAGTACACGTTCATAACCAAATAAAAATTCTTTTGACAGTTGTGTCTACAAGGTAGAAGGACTGCTATTTAAAGAATTAAATACCACGCGCGGAGAAATCTTAATTCTTCAACTTTAATAGTTCCGAACGTGTGAAATAAGTACGCACTTGTGACAATATTGAACATCAAAGAACATGAGAATATGAAGCCATACTAAAAAATCGATAACTGCAGTAACAGCACATGGTAATGCAGGATACGCCCCAAAGAAGTGATTAAGCGTGCAGACGTCACAGCAAAAGGAAAGTCAAATTTTAAGGACATTCAGCTTAAAAGCTCGTTATTTCACACATCTTAATGAACTCTAACAATGCCCCGTCTCATTGCAATGGCTACTAAGTGCATTTCATTTATATCATGGTCTTTCTCGATCAATACCCAAGCACGTGCAAAGACATGAGGGTGCGACGAATTTCCGAAGATGCAGGTCATTTTCGTGCAATGCTATCGATCTATACTGCTCATCATTTATGTTTGCAGGAGTACAGGCCGTTCATGCAATCACGGTAGATGCGTGGAGACTAAAGATAAGTTTCCAAGATCCTAGCAAGAAATATTAACTTACGTCCAGTGTTTGTAGCAGAGATAATCCGAAACTGGCTAAGTGACGGTGGTGGTGGCGGCGGCGGAGCATGTTGCGCATGATGCTGCGGTTGGGGATGACCGCAATGAGACATAAAGCAATGCATCGTAGGTTCTTTTCTTCCCCCACACCGGGAAACCATTATGAACAAGGGGAAAATCCGTAAATATTAATTAAATATATAAACACTTTACGATGATTTTCTTTACGTTGAAATCGAGGAAAAGCAAAAAAGTGCACATTATAGGAAACTTAATAATATTCAAAAACATTAATTCTATTCAAATGAATTATTTGTGGTTGAATATTTGGTTTCAACACGAAACCAGCTTCGAGACACTTGAAACTTTGTGTTCTTCGAAACTAACCAAGAGAACTTGCTTGTAGCAGTACGTACCATTGCACTCCGCCAAACTTGCACTTTAAAAATTTGTGATTGATACGAACTATAAAGTACTAATAATAAACGAGAATTCACAAGGAACGAAAGATTGACAACCGATACTTATTATAACACTAATTCACATTAGATTGATAATTTCAATCCTAACATGTTTTGGCACAGATATTCCATTATTTTTGTATTTCCATACAACTACACAGAATCTGTCACTTAAAACACTATTACAACAAATCGTCTGGCAAAGCAAGTTAAATACTCCTTGTTAACAATCATAAGACATAATGTATCTTCACAAGGGGCGGTTGCCTCTACTTCCCTAGTCACTTCCGCTATCACGCAGTACTTCACACTGACGCAATTTCACATTCGAAGAACTGCGATCCGCTCCCATAAAAATACCACTCCGAGATTATAAGCAATGTTTAAACGCTACAAAATCAGAAACATATTTTTCAATGGCACTGCAACGAATTAACCAACCCACGTGACGCCATGACACTGAGCAAGCGCTCCCTCCATTCCTTTCTCCTCCCACCACACTTCTCCGCGCATGCGCACTCCTCATCCAAAGAACTCTCAAACATGAAACAGCATGGCGCGTTTCAGGACATCACTAGTCTACGACAAAACTACAATCAAATTCAAATGCACACGAAAGTGGTAAATGAGTGATACTGACAAACGAGAAAAATTAAATAAAATGGAAAATATTCACTTACCGGCTGACGTGACATCCATGAATACGATTTCGACAAGGGAGACTGCCACAAAAATGCAACCTAGTTGATATATATAAATGTTCGTAAACTTTAATTGTGCTCCTGCACAAATTCGTAATACTTTTGGTCACAAACCACACGGTAATTTTTTATTAAATACGGTCTCAGGTGCATCATCACACGGTCACTATATACTGCCATATGTTCTATGCTCTCTCAAGAACCCTATTACGCAATGCAACAAATCAGAAACAGCAACAAAATATATCACGTATCTGGATTGGGATAAGTTTTGTTTTCAAACGTAGCAATGAAGATGAAATCTTAAGCACATGCGCTCACACTTATGCTTTTCGAAATGTAGTGGTAATTTCATAGAAAATTGAAGCATTATGGTATTTATATGTTATGCCACGGTTTATAAATTTCATCTATTTACTGTAAAGCCAATGTCAATGTTAACAAAATACTAATTGACAATATTCTGACGTACTGAAGATTTACTGAAAATATGATTCATTCCTGAATCTTTCGAACTTCGGGGCTTCCTGCCTGGCGCCTGCCAACGACTCCAAACTGTACACGTAATGCTAAATGAGCCAAAGGAAACTTGTCTTACTTACAAACAAAAAATACAAATCGCCGAAAAAATATTTTTGAAAATTAATGTAGGCAGAAGTCAGAGTTAATTATAATGAAATTTACCTAAGCTCTTCCGACAAACTTAAGGCAACTACTTTTCAATTGAAATCTTACCAAAATTAATTAACGGAACACCAAAGCAAGCCTCAAGGTCCAACTGTAGTCTTACCACTATTCACTCTACAACTCAAGAACGTTTTATTTTCTTCGAGCGAGAGCGCATTCCTATTTGCTTGATCACTTTTGTGCCACGCGTCCCCCGCCGTTTCCTTCCTAGCTTTCAGAGCTTCCGACTCAGCCGGAAGAAGGTGCACACGCGGCTACTTCCTATACCCAAGAGCGACACACTTTCGGTATTTACAACACGCTAAGTCAAATACAGTTCATTGCGTCCCGCGACATGCTCATCCACAGTGTGTCATCATGAAGCACGTTTCAGTATCCTATGAGAACTGGTCAACATTGCGATGCGTCGCTCTAGAGTAAACAAAAGCAGGTGACAAATTTCTAGTTTCGACACTCAAGAAAACTAGTCTATTATTGAGACTTTGCAATGAATTATTGACACTGAAAGCAGACTCACTGCAATGATTATCGCAACAGGAAAGCGCGGGAGAAATTGCTAAGGCCTTCGCGGATAGTATGATGACCGGTGCAACGTGGCCGTTTCAGTCGGCAGCACCTGCAAGCAGACCAGCCATCAGTACGTGGCATTGGACTAAGCGGTGCCCGTCTTCCAGTAGCCTTCCCCGCTTCACGGTCCTCCCCCACTCCGCAGCATAGGCGACAGCAAGCAACACCGACCGGCAAAGGCTTTCCCACAAGCAGGGCGCGCTCGCATCACGACCAACAGGCGGCCTCTAGCGGAGTCATTCTGGAATCACGTCGTCGAGAGTAAAAGGGGTGCTGGATTCCCAGGTTTCAGGTGCCAGGTGTCATAAGTATTAATTGTTAGTTCACTCGCTTTTTAACGAGGCCAGAAACGAAGATGACCCTCAAGACTGACATGTAACTAAACAATAACACAATTTTTGATAGCGAAATATTTCACATGATTGAAAATTGATGTAGTTTGAGAATAGCCACTCACATGCACGTATTACGCGGGGCGAAATCAATTAACATACATACATATGGAAAAATGTAAGATAAAATAATAAGATGAAATAAATTTGCCGAAAACGAGGGCTGTTGCTCAACAGGGGAAGTGAAGTCAAAACCGTAAGCACGAACTTTACTGCTGGTAAGGTGGATGCTAACTTTCGCAGATGCGAATTCACCGTATTTCGAGAAGAGGGGCAGTCTCCCGCACCATATTTTTGGTTTTCTTTATTTCCTATTCTTCTTTATTACATACTATACTATACTATACTATACTTTGCATAATGTAAGTAAAATTAAAAAAAAAAAAAATAAAAAAAAATGCAGTCTGGAGAGAGGGCACTGTACGACTGCGTGTCAATTTACCCCCGAATGATCTCTTACGAGACATTGCCACTCATTCCGCCGGAGGTGAGGGATGAAGCCAGTTAACTTTGGCATCATCCCTCTCCAAAAACTCTGGCATGTGGCGAGGTGAATTGCTTTTCCAAAAAAGACTTCGTTGCTAATTCTTCGTGGGTTAATGACTACTTTATTACAAATGACACTGCTACTAGTGCTATTTCTTCACGGTAAACATTAGTTGTTTTTAACACAAAATATTCAAATGGCACGGGCATAAACAACATACTAACACAGGAGTTGATCGGCAGATGATTATAATCACTTTTGCAGTTTTTTCACAGTGTGCCAAGGCCATTTTTGTTTTGTTTCTCTCAGAATCTTTACTTCAGAATTTCAGAAATCACTCTCGCATTTGGATCCAATATTAGAAACTAAATCCAATACAAATTGTAGGTGAATATTGTGAGTATGATTAGGACAAAACATACATTTTAAGAATATTCCTGAATCCAGAAACTAGTGGTGCTACACAATGGCACCGACTTTCCTGTATTAGTTTACTATTTCCAGATCTCTCCCTGCAAACGACATGATTTGACTAATCGAACACGTTTTGAATGGTTGTTGATCATGGACCTAGAAAATGTATTCATGGAATAGGAATGGGGCTAGAAAATGTATTCACAGCTCCGTGGTGTTGACTCACACCTGTCGATGAATGGCAGAATTAGAAAAGCCAAGACGTTCATGATAAAGGTGTGAACTCCTTGATTCTCTTAGCTATTGTTTTAGTGATAGAAATGATTGTTTGCCGCGTATTCTGAAAGAAAATGTCTTACAACAGTGAATATTAGTTTTGATACTTTCACAAGTGCTTCAGGCCATTGCAATCAACAGTTCATAGTGGTAGTAATTAATTACGACTGACGTATAATAAAACAATAATTATTATTGCGAAAATGTTTATTTTTTCCAAAGCTAACGGCTCCTAACTTCTTATTGAAATGAATATTTCAGCTAACAAGCGTTTTCCCCCTCAAATCTATAGCGCTCTCGCAACATTCAAATGCAGTACAGTACAAATCAGATAAAATAGAATGGTACTAAATAAAGGGCACGGTACCAACGCGACGAAGCTATCAAAATATGCAAAAAGGTAGGAATGATACTACATACATTCCAATATTGTCTCCAGCTACTAGATACGTTTCAGTTATCTCTGTAACAATAATAGAAATATTCATGTAAGAAACCCAGCGAATGAAAGTGACTATACAGAAGACCCTTCCAAACCTCTCACATTTCAGAGGAACCTAGGTCACAAACTAGGTTCCTATAATAATGACATTCCACAACACGCTAGAGCATGTCAAATAACACGGTGTTACAATTTTTTTTAAAAAAATGCCCACTTCAACCTTTGCTGTTTATTTATTCATACACGTCACTTAATAAGAACACATATGTACTTTTTTCCTATCACGTAGTTTTTTTTAGATATGGTATCTAACAAATATTAGTAAAAACTTTAAGAAATAAAGTCCAGTGTACAGGTTGCTTTATTTAATTACCAATAATTCAAGTAAAAACCATAAAACTTTATATATACATATAGTACACAAAAAAATGAAAAATATTTAACTTTTCCTTGTATATTGGAAAGTGTTATATCGCTATAAACGCCAGAAGCAATTTCCAAACATATCTGCGTCCCAACGCGTATGAAACAGTTCATCTAACCTGCTCTTCTTATTCATCACCTCACGGCTTCAAGATTTGAAGGGATGGAAGAGAAATGGGAATTAACAAAATACATTTTTAATGACACAGGCAAACCATCTTTTTATACATTTAACAAATTGTCCCCCAGAACATTCACGTTTTCGGCTCTGTGGTTACGTAAAAAAACTTTAATCATGGTTCATACGCGTAGTTCTTTGTGATTTAGTTTATCGATATTTTTGTAATATTATATATAACATTAAATATAAAAATACATAGGCATTTTTATTCACTGTCCTCACAAAATTCCTTAAGCCGAGTTTTGTATGTAGGGGAGGTAAAACACCAACAGTTTGTCTTATTTTGAGGCAAAGGAAGAGGCATGTCTTCGGTATGAGGTATTGATTTCATTACAGAATTCACACGATACTCGATATTATATGCATTCATTTTAATCGAAAATCCTCTTACAGTTAAAGTACCAAAATCGTGTCACGCAGTGTAATTTATACTAACGGAGAGATGAGTATCGCATTAACCTCACTCTCCTTTAACATTTTATTTCCATTAACGAAACGTTTATTTGTTTAAAAAATGTAAAAAAGGTGTACTTAAATATATAAAAAAAAAAAAGAATAAAAACTGTGTTCTTGGAACAATTTACACAACTTCTAAAAGATCTCATCCAGCAGATTACGATGTGAGGAACGTTTGAGGCCTTCGACCTCATAATACCAGGTTTTAATAAAACGCTTCGTTTTGGAGTTAAAAACAAGCACCGTGACCGAAAACAAGCTAGTCTTGTAAATTTCCACAAAATATCATTATTACACAAGGGTCTCTGAATAGTAATCAGATTTAAAACACGCAACAGATAATTGTGTATTAAAATGATGAATCACTAAAAATACACTCATAAAATCATTACAATATGCCAAAACTTAGTTACTTTTATTCGACAGGAGTGGTACATAGCGCTGAAAACTTGTAATAGTTGCGACCAATTAGTACATTTGAATGTACGTGGTGAAAGGACAAGCCAGAAGTGATAACTATTATAAGCTATATCAATAAATATGGTCATGTATTTCGTTCATTCATTATAGTAATTTTTCTCATTTTTATTTTTTTTAAAGTGACGAAGTCGGAACAGTTTCTGAAGGCAAGTTGGCAGGAAAAATGAAAAGTCGTACGCGGCCTTGTTACTAACAATTGCGTCAATGAGATATTTTGAAACAAGTCTTTTACGACCACTATGACCGAGTTTTCTAATTCGAGTGATTGTGGCTTGATTTTGTTCCGTAATATGTCGTGCATTGATTTTAGTTAGATGTTTAAATAGTTAATGTTATTATTAGTTATTTTCAGAGTTACTTGGATAATTGTTATTAGTAGTTATTTGTTGAAGAAAGTAGCGATTAGAAGGATTATCTTGCGACCTTTACGCGTTTATTTAATTATTGGAGGGTTCCAAATTTATATTTGCTACTTAATTAAAATTTAATTTTAATTATTTGAAGATTTTTGAAAATCTATAGTAATTAGCAGTAACTTAATTAATTTGTTAATATATTTAATTTATAGCTCATTGCTGATTATAATTGTACAATTAAAGTTACTATTATTTGTATAAATAAATAGTAATAGAAAAACCATGAACTCACACTGTATACATTTATAATCTTACACGATTACCACACTGCAAAGTATTTTGCAAAAGGCAATACTCTTTTTATAATAGTTTATGAAAATAAGTAGGAGAGGATAAAACTTATGTAACCTAGTCAGATTTGATACTGCGAATTGCGAAGTAATACCAGCAGGTAGGCGAATTTATTTTACGTGCATTGTATTTATTAAAATATTTTTTGTTTGCTATTCCTGATATATTGTTACTGTCTTATATTATGTTACATACAACTTTGAAGTGTTTTAGGTGACACTGGAGAAAACAAATGTGTTTCTTATAATGAAAAAATAATTTTGGATAACTGGAATAAATAGTTAATTTAGTACTTATTTCAACAATGCCGACAGTGTTGCGGGTTGCATTTGACACTAATATTTACATTTTTTTTAAACATATCTTTCATTATTTTAACGTCAAAGTGCAATTACTCACGTCTTTGTGTTGCGTTTTAAAGCTCCTTTATAAAGTTTGGTAACGTGTTAGAGCAGTAAGACTCATCTTTACTACTGAAACTATATATGAGAGAATTTTCGCGCTAAAAGTTTCTAATATCACCAGCACCTGCGATGCGCATCTGCATCATTTCGATACGCAAGAGCAGCAATCATTTCTCACTTCTGCAAGAGAAGTAAGCAGGAATAAGTTTCACTGTTACAGTA